TCTGATCACTTTTAAACTTATATTTATATAAATTTAAAATTCAATCTTGCATCCATGATGAGATAGGTGAACGGATTCCAGTGAATTGGCATGTAAAGAAAATTTATATCACAGTAAAATGATGGAAGAAAATACAAATCTTTTTTAAATAATGAAAGAATTTCAAATTCAAGACGTGCAGCCCTTGTGCCTAATTTTGAAATAATGAAATTCCTAAGTCAGTGTGGTCTCTCAGCAGGTCCTGTGAATTCTTATAGGTACAGGAGCTAAAGGTATGCAAACTGCAGAATATACAAAATTCATTGTCATAAACTTTAATCACAGCACACATCATGTAATATTGAAAATATTTTACAGAATATTAAATATTGAAAGTATTCTACAGAATGCTCAGCTCCATGAGTAAGTAAGTAAATAATTCTATAGAATTTTTAATATTTTCGCTAACTGAGTAGGGATATGTGAAACTTCAGTTTCAGTACTATGAACTCTGTGGTGAATTGTGAACACACACAGCTATGTCTGTGATAGATGCTAAGCCTATATGCCAGAAAAATTTTAATATAACTGTTCATAAATTGTGACCAAATCTTATAATTAATTTTATTACTGCACACTCTACGTATTAGATGACATTACCTCGGTGCCCTCTTTCTTATTCAAGTTTACTTTGATTTGAAATTCTGCCCTTCCATTTTGGAAGTTGCTTGTCTCTGAGTTCCTGCTTGGTATATCAGAGACTTTGCGTTGTTCAATGTCTGCTCCTCATGTAAAAATTGTCCCTCTTAGATGTGTAACAGCTGCTAATGCTGTTTGCAGGGACACTCACATATTCGAAGCCAGGAACGTTCTCCTCATTCGATTTTTAAATATTGTATAATTGTTACTATTATTATTTGCATGAACATAAACAACAATCACACTGAATTATTATTACTATTCTTTCTGGATATCTATACTTTTAATTTCTCAGTTGTCAATAGCAACTTAGATTTATGATAATGATATTATTATTTTGTTTGTTTAATTATGTGTATTAATTTATTTTCCTCCAATATTTACCTTTAATTATTCCTTGACTTTACGTTGTGTTTGTCCAGTATGTAACTACTTCTATCTACACTGTGCAGAGTCTGTAATTGGCCTTGCGGCTGTTGGCTCAGCAGATAAACAATAAAGAATTTAATTGAATTATTGCCATGGCTGCTGTTAATATTGGTGTTATCTCTACTGTTACTGTTATCATCACACCTCTATAATTACTTTAACATGGCCATGATCATGGTTAATACATCAGACACTTTAGATGAATGTCAGACAAGTCATGTCAGTTTCATTCCAAATCTATCCTCCTCATTTCTCTTTCAGATTTCTCCCACCTCATTATTTCATGATTATCACAAGCAGTTTAATGCAACATAAGATCAGCAGCTGTGGTAATACCATTAAACAATCAACATGAGACCAACACAGTCATACTTCATCTTGCCAGTTACTTATAAACTATTAGTCAGTATTACACATGTAACATAACATGCATAGCCATAACATTACTGATTCTCTAAAGGTTTGTTACACTGGTTTATCCATTGTAGTCTACCAACATTATGCTGGACACGGCTAGTATAAGTAGCATTATGGAAGTTGGTCTAGCACCATCCTGTGGTGACTGAACGTCATTACACTGGAAGATTTCTTATCAATTTTATTTTAAGATTAATGGTGACAATTGTGATCAAGCTTGGAACCTTTTGAATACTAAGGCTATTATGTTACCTCTAGACCACCAGGGTGGCCCAGGAATGATTGGTGTATGGATGTCAATCAACTAAGTTCCAAATGGCTCCATCTGCTACACATATACTCCAGTGTAGGGTGTAATTTTACTAGGTGAGATTTGAGGTTCTCACAGCTGTGACTATGAAGAGTATAATAGTGTGGGACATTATGCTCTATAGTCTGGAAGAAATTTACACACATTTTGAACGAACATATTTCCTCCATCTTCAGCATCAAAGAATAAGCAAACAGCAAGCACTTGCTTGTTTGGCATACTCTTTGACCCTGAAGATGGAAGCAATACATTCCTTCAAAAATTCTACTGGGCCACATGGCATAACACCATAGAGGACAGTAGTACTCTTATCACAAGTAGAGTTGCAATAGCAAAAACAACCATCCATAGGACAACCATGTGATACAGTAGTTAGCATACTAGCCCAGTATTGAAAATGTAGCAAATCTGAACCCAACTGACACCACTAATACTAATACTAACAACAGCAACAACAATTACACATGCGTAATTTTTCCTTATGTGTAATCACTTTGTAATTGGCCTTTGGGCTGCTAAGTTAGCAAGAAAATAAATATGAACAGAATTAGATTGAATAATGACAACCTGCTTATGGAAAAAGAGTCTGCTGTATATATATTATCAAATATACCTCAGATGATGGATAATACCCAATATAATACTACAATAATATAACAATGACGTCAGGTGTCAAATCAGTATGCTACAGTGAAGAGGAAATACAAGCTCTTGTAGTGACTAATGCAGTGAATATGTAGAAGGTAATCTAAAATTATGAGAGAGAATGAATAATTTGATGCAACACTGGAGTTATGTAGGTGGACCAAATCTGTTTCATATTTTCAGACTATCCTTCATTTCATAAAGTTCAGTGACAAAAGTCTTGAGATCAGTTTAATGTAAAATCCAAAGGAAACCAGCAATTTAGAGGACTCACACTCTTGTCAGTTTCACTATTTACAAAATATCAAAGTAGGAACTACGGGTTAATTGTGAATGGTGGTAAAGAGGGGTATGAAAGAAGACTATTCCAATGCAGGAATAATATTAAAGAGAAAAATATCAAAATCTTTATTCAGGAAAGTAGTTCCAGGTTAAACTGGATATTTTCTGAGCACAGTGGAGGTCATATCCACTGAACCAGATATTTAATAATCTCAGAATGAATTACCGCAGTTTTTTAAGCAGTTACATATCTTGCTGTCAACAGTGAAGTCCATTTTCTAGCAATGCAGATAATTCCAGAGCTTCAATTATTTCCTTTCCTGACATGGTAATCACTTATGTGAATCTTGTTTCTGAATTACCCATTTTGGAAAACGGTCTATGCTTATGAAAACCTAAAGCAGAATTATTCAAACCATAAAAAAACATTCTCAAACTATGTCGGGGGCAAAACTGTTCTAAGGATAAAACTCTGTACAGTTTACAGTAGTGTAAATAAATTCTACATTATGAAAGTTATACAAAGAGAGAAAACTATAAAAAACATGAGTGATATTATCCAAGACACATGATGGAATTCTTGCGCTTAAAATTAGAGAGCTGAGGCTAGAAGAATGGAAATTTCTTTTGTTGCAAAGTACATTAAGGTAAAGCTGCTTCTGTGCTGAATTAATTAAGCATTGTACCATGAAGACGTACTGGGGAGTGAATGTATAACTCCACGCACTCCTTTACGCCCTGAACGCCTATATGCGATTCCATAAAAAAGAAATGTCTTAGAGAGACTGATGGCATACCGACTCTAAATTTATAATTGGAACGCCACTCCACTCCTTACTGGTTCACTTTCAGCACTGTCACCTTATTAAACTCACTTAAAATAACATTAATTGGATATATAGATATAAACACGCGATATTACGCTTCGACATATGTTATATAATTCCACTGGCTCTTATTAGTGTTTCGTGTAATGGTGGTTTATGGATTTCCTTTTTTTTTTTTTGGGCCCAGTTTCTCAAGGAGACGCACGTTACTTTAACTGGCCGAAGCAACATTGGCATCCACAAACCGTATTTTCTGAATATAGGATTGCAGCGGGCCAGCTATAATCAATCAACACGCGAACAGACTAACATTTCAGGCTATGGGTCTAATTCTATATTTGTTCCTCACGCAGTATACGACATTGCATCATCAGGCCTACGCCACTGAGATATCTCATTCTACTGTCAATCATCGGAAAAATAATTTTTATTGTATTCATCCCAAACTTCTACGAACATCGTATAATAACGCGATCATTATATTCGGCGACACATTTGTTCCCCGGGGAAATGGAATGGGCGGACTTCTCTTTTTAAAAACTGGACGGAGGCTACAACTTTCAAACCCAGCAGTTAAACACCTGTTTGTAACATTTAAAGCAAAGCGTTTTGCCGAACAGTAAATTTAAGTGTTTCGTACGATTCCCATACTGAACAGCAGTGAAGCCTATGAATAGCATTAGCCCGTTTATCTTTGTAATGGAGAAGCGGCGTGCTTTCTGTGACGTAGGAACTGAATACTTTAAATATTATTTTGATTAACTTCAGGTTTTAAAGGGTTAACAACTTTAGTCATAACCCTCTAAGAACAGGAGTAAGACGCCAATGCACACAAATCAAAGAAACTGATATGAATCTGATTCAAGTACCCTTTTGTTGTGGCAGCCGCAAGATGGTAGACCACACTGTTACCCGGTATTGTTGATTGATCAAAATGTTATTCATAGGCCAGATAAGACAGATGTGGTGTAAACTGAGTAATGCAGATGGAGTTCTTATTATTTCATGACTTAATGACTATTTCCAAATATATACTCACCAAAAAATGAGATAATGACACCAAAATATACTTTCACCCCTGATCTTAACCCGCGGATCAACCAGAGCAACAAAACAAAATGGTGGGTAGTACCCTCACATGAAACATGTCACGCAGGCGTAACTTTGCCATACCGGCTATTGCCAATCCCAAGGAATGGGATGTACGCAGCGGACAAGATGTTGCAATGCCGTGTGACTGGCTGGTCCCTGGCATAATTATCGTAAAATAACAACTCTGTGAGCATAACGTGGTACTTCTACGCAATAAAAGATTAAAAGATGAGAGTAAATTTACTAACGCTCTAAATGTCAAGTCATTATTACTTAATAAATAAGCAATACATTTGAAGAAGTGGTTTTGTTACCGGAACCGGAACTTACCAAGATGGCTGTCACAAGTTTATATTTATTTGTATTTATAGTTTAAAACTTTAAATACTAGCGTAAATACGTCTTAATTGTCAAATTATTCGTATGTAGTGAATTATGTGTACCACAGATGAGAAGTAGAATATGAGGTCTCATATTTCTTAAGAACTGTATAGAATTGGGTATATATTAGTGATCAGCCTATGAAGGGATGGGCTTGTATTGAACATACTTGCTTATACTTCAGAATAATATCTTATATTCATGACGACAGAAGGTGAAGTCATAGTTATGTAGCATTATTTAATTGTATTTAGTATTCATTTCATTTAAACTTGGTAACCGAATTCAAATTGATGTTGGTTGCATAATTTCAAGTCATTATTGTGGAGGTTATAAAGTCATAAATTTATATTGCAGGTAGGTTATTTTATGTTATTAGGATATTTGAAGCTTATATATAACGGTTATCTGTAGTAGGATGTAGGTGTTGATAATCCATGATGATAAACATTGAAATACGGAAAGAACCGAAAGCGGTTTTGGATTGAATATCATGAATTTGGAGACACTGGATTTTAAGGAAAGTAACAGATTGTGTTTTAGTGTAATAAATATGTAAATACATTGAGGGTGTTTTATAGATTGTCAGCTATTGACACCTTGTTTTATGTAGGATGCTAAAGTAAAACTGTCCATTGAAATGTATGTAATAATATTGCACAGCCTCTTGAACCTAATATGTCACTGTGAGGNGCATGTCGTACTAAGCAAGGTATAAAAACAGTTGCTTTATGAGGAATTAGTTCGTACCATTGAATATTTGACGCAATAGACAAGGTGTCGCAGAAACCGATGTTGCTATAACCAAGTTTTACTGTATTATGAATTATGAACATGTGACTAAACAGTTAATGTGTTAGAGGGTACTGCTTGTGATGAGAAACAGACTGAACTGTGTCTGGCAACGTGTTTATTGTTATTCATTTCATGGATTATGATACAAAAGAGCACATATAATAAATATTGAGTTAATAGAGTCTTTTCTTTTCCAGCTTCTGAAACAGTCTTCATGACCAGCTGTTTCAGGGAAATCTGTAATGCAAACATATACAGGTATGTATTATATGAAAAATANATATATATATATATATATATATATATAAAGCAGAATTTGAGAAAGACTGAATGAAATGTATGTTTTCACATACCCTTTATGTTACAGAAGTGGTTTCTCTGGTTGTTTGTAAAAATAACGCTACTTCTGCATGCATTTTAGTGCAATTTGAAGAAATTATCCAGTAATATCTTCATCTTCATAAAATCAAAATTTAAATCTAAGTTAATAGTCAAAAGTAAACATAAACAGTGTAACTGCATATTGTAACTGAACGCTTTATGTTAGATCAGTAGTTTTGGTCCAGTTCATGTTCATCTTGTTAAATATTCAGTAAATTGTAATATGTTTAGGTATAATCTGTGCCTTCTGGTCTTTAAAGAATCTATTCCTTGCAGAAGAAGATACAGCTTATGACAATTTTTTTTTTTTTTAATTTTTCTGACAGAATGTATTAAATTCAGATAACCTTTTCTGCTTGAATCTTCTGCTCTTGGCTTTGCTTGTGTTGCTTGGTTGCTAACTGTAGTACCCTGTTTGCTTACAGAAGTCACAAGTTCCTTAGGATGTTCAGATTGCAGATCTAGTTTCAACTCTGCATCCTTGCTGTTGCAACATTTTGCTCAACACGTCTTTCAGGAAGCCTCTGGCTGTCAGATAAAGCATGGCAGTATTCTGCCACCTGAGGATGAAGCACAATGTATGCAGAAACATGCCACAATGCCACATTTACAAAAAAAGAAAACAGAAACCATCCTAGAAAGAGTTTTGAAACGGAATTCCGCATTGCGCCACCTGACAGTAACTGGTCGTTGTGAACCAGGTCCCTCTGCCAGTAATGAGGATGTTAGATTATTTCCTACAGCAAACAGTTTGTCTTCCCAGTTACCAGTATCACAAACAGCAGGTCCAGACGAAGCCTGTCATGTGATGTCAGGCTGTTTGGAAGCGAGAGTTCTGAAAAATAGGAGCACAGCTGGATTGGATATGTTGTTGGAAATAGGGCAACGTGCAAAGGAGAAGAATAATCAGAGTTCACTGCCCATCTTCTCTTCTTCTTCATCTTCCTCTTCCAGCGATGTTCACCTTGTTAGATGCGACCTTCAAAAACGTCTGGAAAACTGCATATCTAAATTAGCAACAACACGGAAAAATGGGGTTATGTTGGAAAACAATAAGCATTTTAATAAAGATATTACCATTTTATCAGACACAAAGAAGAAAACCCAGTTGAATTGTATAAAAAATAAAGCAAATTCAGAACTAATTGGTAACACAGGAGCCATTAAAATACAGGAATGTGCGAAGAAGAATGAAGAACTAGAGGACTTCAACCCTTTGAAGTTCTGTTTTGTCACCTTAGAGGAGCATGAAGACAGTGTAGAACATCAAAAAGAGGAATTGGCTGAAGGATCTATGGTGAAATCTCCACGGGGTGCATCAAGTCGCAAACAAAAATCTCCAAAGAGAGTGTACTACCGTCAAAATGGAAAATTGGCCCACAGATCCATAGCATCAGCACTTAGTCTGGATGATGGTGAGAAGGTTGTGTCTTCCTTCACATGTAAGAAGAAATACCCATGTCACTTGTGTTCCAAAGTGTTTGGATGGTCCACTGATCTCAAACGGCACATCTTGACCCATACTGGAGAACGCCCTTTCAAATGCAGTACATGTCAAGCGACGTTCACTCGCAACTTTCTCCTACAGAAACACGAAAAGAAAATCCACAATTCATGTTTCATGGTGTCACAGGAAAGTGCAACCTCCGATTTGTATGAGCCCTCAAATAAAAATCAAATCCAGAAAGATGTAAAAGGAGGAAGTGAATATTGTGCTATGAAACATTTGATGCAGTGTAGTGATGATAGTGATGAAGATAGACTGGTGATATGTGATGATGGGGAGAAACCAAACAGAGCTGTGCCAGCCTGCTCGGTAAGGAAGTTACAAAATGGGGACTTGCACAAAATTCATCCAGCCAAGAAAAGAAAAGAAATACAGTACAAGATCTCTTCGTATGAAATGTTTTCACATGAAGCCTTAAATATCTTATAGCTGTACTTATGAAAACAGTATTGAAACTAGGCATGTGTGAGAATGACTTTCAGCTTGTGGCTAGAATTTGGAAAAATTTGGAGAATTGAGAGAAGAATTTTCTCTCTGAAATATTTTTTTTTTATTATTACAATTTATAACCATAGCCAGTCTCTCAGAGTGTGCCACTTATCCCCTTTTGGTATGATCTTTTTTAAATGAAAAATTATAATAATCCATTGTATTTAAAAAAATCACTTGTAGGACCATGTTTTTTCACCATGGGTGGAAAGAGTTTTTTTTCTGACAAATTGATTTTTGCTAGCATTGCAACCATTGGGGTTCTGACATCTGGTAGTCTTTGAGTAGCTGGAAGTTCAAGACTGGTAATCAATATTGAGAATTTTTCAGTTTGATCTTGAAAATGCAAGACTTGCACATGCCTAATTGAAACTGTAGTCTGTAATTTGAGTATTTACTGCAGAACCATGCACATGTGTGTGTGCTCGAGTTGAATTTATTACTAAGAAAGATAATATATGAAGGGTCCATATACAAGAATCATAAAACAATAAGTCCTTGAGTACCATAGAGTTGACCAGATTTTTATATCCTTCAGATTATATATTTACATACAACATATTTTTATAGTCAGAAGATTTAAGATTGAATGACACAGATAGTATACTAAAATTATTTATTCATTACAGTCAAGAGGCTAGAAAGTTACCAATTTTAAGTTCTACATTCTTGATAGCATAAGTACTTAATAAATGAAAGTATTCTTACATAAAGAATTAATAGTTTCTAAATAGAAAATTAAAGAACTACTCTAATAATAAAACATAGTGCAGGATGTGACAAATGTAGGAAAGCATTTAGATTTGTGTTCACTATATTTATGTTCCTAACTGTAGTGATTGCAGTTTTCAGGAATCGCTTCATTTACGCACTGTCTTTCTCAGGTTTGATTGAAATAGTGATTTCCATAAACATCCCAGTGCTTTAGCCTAATGTGTTAGATTTTATGTTTATAATAATGAATTAGCAATTTCTAATAACAAAAATAAATTAAAATCCATTATCTATTATACAGGGTGTCCCAGGAGGAATGGACCAAACTTTGGGAGGGTGTTCCTTATGTTAAAGTATGCCCATATAACCCAAAACACCTATGTCCAAAGTTGAACGGTTACGGAGATAATGGCCCAAGAAAAGTGTGGTCTTCTGGCAGGTCCACGCACTGTACCTCTCAGCTGAGAGGCCTTATCTATGTTTGTCCTTAAGTGCCGTGATTCACCCTAGCCGTACGTATGTAGTTGGCTTTATCAGAACGCGCAGTCAGCACGTTACGTCAGCGCTTGCCATTCATGTGTCATGTATAGTGCTTGGAAACCCCAAGGACAATTATGACATGGCGAGCGAGTATTTTGTACTTCAATTTTATGGCTTCATGTTATTCACAAGTTAGTTTGATGTTACGTACATTATTAACATTACAGAATCCACATATTCCTGCCAGTTTTAATATGTATCTTGTAATCAACAAGTGTGCAACGCCAGTCAAAGTTTGACACTTCTCTGGCCATTATCTCTGTAACCGTTCAACTTTGGACATAGGTGTTTTGGGTTATATCGGCATACTTTAACACCCTCCCGAAGTTTGGTCCATTCCTCCTGGGACACCCTGTATATAGTTTATCTGAAATAGAAACATGAGATACATTTTGAAGAATATAAGCAAACATTTTGAGGAATGAAGAGCCAGTTTTTAAATTAGCATTTTTATACATTTGTAATAGGGAATTATGGCTGTATGAAATCTTTGCTATTTGGAATTTGCTCTGCATGTAGTTTGAGTCCATGGAGTGATTTTAACATTTTATACAGTATTAATATTATTAAATATTAAGGGAACTACAATTTGACATTTGTGATGTGTGTGTGATAGTTATTCTTTTTAGAGGTTTTAAGTACAGTCAGTATGTTCTCAAAATTATGAACAATATTTACACATTCTGATCATGCAGTTTTTTAAAGTTGTTTTTTTATTCAAGGGGGAAAAACCTATAAAAGTGAGAATGTGTATATAACTTTATAGCTGTGAAAGGTCAAGGGCTTACAGATATACTGACGTAAGATATCTGGGTATTTAGTTCATTTCAATATATATAATATAAATTGTCATAAATGTAACACTTTATTGTAGTTCTTGTCCCCCTTCTTTCACACCACGTTTCGGCCGTAATTGGCCATCATCAGGTGTATTTCACTTCACATAGCTGTCACACTGCACTCAATATTAACATTCCAGTGTGACAGCTACGTGAAGTGAAATACACCTGATGGTTGCCGATTACGGCTGAAACGTGGTGTGAAAGAAGGGGGACAAGAACTACAATAAAGTGTGGGATGTAACAGGATACTTAAATATATTTAGTTCACATTGTTAAAATTTATGATCAAATATCTTAAAGGGTAAAGGGGAGAATAAGAAAATTTTGTAGGAAGGTTAGGTTAGGTTGACTGAAGTAGTACCTCATTAAAAGTCAACAGTGATGACAGAATATCTGATTTTGGTTGTATTGGGGCTTGGACCCAAGTTGATGTTATGTGGATATGGATATAGAAGTGCTGTATTCACATCAGACATTTTATCAAATGAAAAGAGACAATTTAAAGGTACTGAAATTAAGAAAAGTGATTTTCATCACTGTGTTGTAGATCACAATTTGTGCTTAGTGTTAAGTGGAGATTTTCTGAGTTTGGCAATGTTACATATTCAATATTCAAAATGATTTTTATTTTTCAGTGATTTCTATCTTGCACTAAAGGCAAGGAAATCTACCATCTCCTCAGACCAAAAGTATTAGCCATAAAAATAACTCCGTATTAATTTAACTCATTTATTATTTGTGAAGATTTTGTACTTAAATGTTTCTTCATTAACCCTTTGAAGTAGTGTGTTAATCTTTATCATTTTTAAAAATTAAGTTTATACCTTTCATAAAACACACTGCATATCTATCCATTTCAAAGACCAATTGGCTAATGTTTTGAGAAATAATCAGTTTATTCTGATATTCTTATAAAAACCATAATATACTCTGCAGGAAAAATGCAAAGGTTTCAAATGTTAAAGCAAATGGTACATATACAAGCAGTAACCAGTGTGCTTTACTTGGTTAAGAACAAACACCTTGGTGGTATGTTTCACTCGCCGATGTGGGAGTGCCATAAAATTAAGTTGTTCATAGTTTAAAATAAATACTGAGTATAATGCCATTAATTGTCTAAAACAAAGCATAGCTGTTCTTAAAAATGATTTTAAGAGCTATTTATTGCAAGATGTTTCTTTTAAACTGAAGGTTTTTGTCATTAGTGAAGAACTACAAATACAAAAGATTTTTAAGTATTGACACTAAAACAGCATGCAGAATATATAGCCTTTTTAGGTTGTCTTTAGGTATATTAAGTTAAAAAAAGGGGGGGGGGTAAAGCAAAACTATCCTGTAACAGGCCATGGAGGCCCATAGGTTTGTGAGATGTTGAGGGTCCCACTTTTTCTATAGTCAGGTCACAGATGGCAGTGAGGTTATCAGCCTTACGTGCCAGCCGCTTTTTACCCCCAGGAAGATTCCCGGTACTTATTTCTATAGAAAACAAAATATAAGCCCCATTATGATTAAGTAGGTCTGAAAGAATATAGTGGTATCATGACTTACCTTTATCATCATTAATGGCACAATTGAAAGCGTGTGATGAGGTACTTAAAACATAAATCCTAGTCTCTTACAGTGGACAGACTTAGGGTTACCAGAAGTCACAAGTCATGTTTAAGCAACAAAGGAACTTAATTTAGCAGTATTATGCTGTTTATATAGTTACTCATGATATTCCTGTGTAAGATTCTGATATGTCAGTTTTAATTTCACTTTTATAATTGTTTTATCATATACATATTTATTTTTTATATGACCATGGACCTGTTAACTTGAAGGCATCAGAAAGGTAAACAGTAGTTTCAAATTTAGTTATATGAAGGTCAATGCAAAACGCTATTTTTCTGGAGAAAAACAGTTGTGATTTTAAATAAGGCTTATTCATGTGTGGAGAACCATGTTCAATATAATACTGCACAGATCATTTCCAAAGGGAAGTAAACAGTTCCTCAATAGTGTATATCCATAATAAAATGAAGTAAGATATCCTGGGCCTAAGTATCATATTGTGCAGGTGTATAGTAGGACTCAAGATAAAGCACCATAATCAGCATCAACACAAAATGGAAATTAATTTTGTGCCCTAGACTCTTTGGGTAAAGAGCCCCCAATAACGTTGACTCTCAATTATCCACTTTCTGGGGTAAACTGCAGTACTTTAGAAATCTTTAATTATACATCATGGCTTTCTGTAACATAATAAATATATATTATATATATAATAAGTAATAAATACAAATAACATGTATCAGATGCTCTACAGCGATTTTCAGTATACTGTACATCATCCTACTGGTCTTTTGGTTTATTACTACTTTTTGTTCCAATATACTGTCACTTAACAAGAGCTGCTTTCTTCAATACATGTGACTTGCTGTTATTGACCAGTAAACTTTGTAGTCTGCAGTTCATTACATGTTTTCACTTCACATGGGGTTCATTACATACTGGAATTTGGATTTTCCATTGTTTTTGACTATCTGTTATGTGACTCCCCTCCATTATTACGGATAATCGAGAGTTCATGGTAGACTATAGAAAATAGAAACCTCTCATGCAACACTGTGTAAAATATGAATATATGGGAAAGCATGTGCAATATGTACTGTATATTTCCATAAATATGATAGGTGTTAAATTTATGGCTGCTTAGGTGACTAGTAGCCTTTGAAAGGAACAGAGGAGTTTAGTACCAAATAAATAATATAAATGGATGTATTGTAAAGTAATTTGTAATTCTTATATAAAATTGCCTATGACAGGTGCCTATTCCTAGTCAAATGCGTCTGATAAACATGAAAAGAAGCCATATTTTATTCAGCTTCCAATCAGAAACATATATATGTAAAGTACTCTTATTTATGAAATACATATTTAACAGATTTTAGTTGGCTGTAAATTAAAAGACATTTGATGTTTTACCATGGCATACCAAATAAGTGTTTTAAAACTGGGTAGTATGAAAAATTATCTGACCTTATATTGTAATAGTACTTTTTAATCATTGTTCCTGTCTTTTTGTAGTCTGAATAACAGTATTGTTTTGTTTTTAATTGTGAACTGTATGTTATTTTGTTTTGTCACACAAGTGTGAAATTCTTGGTGCTCTTGAATTCTTGTAAATAACACAAGTGATATGACTGTTGTCTCTTGTAGCTTTCTTCCACCCCAAAATGTCTGTGGCTGTGTCATACGAAGAACTAAAGAGGAAATGTGTAATAATTATAAAACTGAATGAAACGTGATAATCAGTACTGTAATTTTAAAATGGTAAAAATATAATTTTTAAACTACATTTTTTATTTATAATCCCTTCCTTATTCTGATTAAATATTTTACAATAAGATGAGCCACCCACTAGCTTTCATGGGAGAAATTAAAACTTCATACAAAATCTGACTGGAATATCTCAAAAGAAAAGATCACTTGGGAGATATTCCGTATTGAGGGGGTGGGTTTCCCCATGCACTTAGACCGGTTACTGGTCCATTGTGCGTCCCCCTTTAATTTCTACTGTCTCCATACCCTACCGGTATTGGTGCTTACTATCAGCCCCTTTCTGCCAGCGAGGTTCCAACCTCTTACTGGCAGTGGTATCTAATAGTTAGTCCCTTTCTGTCAGCGAGGTCGTCCCTCCTCTGGCAGGGGTTCCTAGTCCCTTTCTGCCAGCAAGGTTTCTACCCTCTACTTGGCAGACTTGGAAGATAAGAAACACATAAAGTAAAGTAAAGCAAAGCTGCCCCTGTCCATAATTACCATGTCATGAAGATATATGTGGAATGTGAGTGGTCAGCCTAATGCTCTAGCCACTTTACCCTGGTACCCAATGAATGGAGACAGTAAATCCCCGAGTTTGTGTGAATATGGGGATAAGAA